AAGAACTTGGCTTTAAAAAAAAAAAGATGTCAGGTAGAAAAGGAGAAGCCAAACAAGGAGGTGAGAGGAGGCAGCTGAGAATGGCAGAAGAAAACCTCCAGGTCACCTGTGAAATCATTCACCCACTCAGTGCTTTAACAAACGTGTATCAAATAGGCACTCTGCTGGTATCAACAGGATACAGTCCCTGGCTTCAGGATCCCCTGGATAAAAGCATCTCCTAAATACTCCTTTAAGCAAAAAGCCTTGGGGGCATACACCTGCTTACCAAAAAGATCTAAGGTACCTCTACATGGTCAGGGGAGAGATGGGCAGTGTCTCTTGCTAGGTCTGTACCCTTCATGTTAGTTGGGTCTCCACTGAAGTCATGTGATTATTCCCCTTAACACCTTCCACTTTCCTCTCCCCCACTGCCACCAACTACTGAGTTTCATCGGATGGTTCATCCAGAGATGAGCCATATGTAGACTCAAGCCTCTGGCTCCTGGCAGTTCCTAACCAGTAAGTAAAGAACCTGCAAATCCCACCCCTGCCCTGACCCTTTTCCCCAACATTTGTTCAGCACTTACCATTATGAGGTCGATTTCTTTGCATACATCTCCTCTGTAGATTCTTAGAACTACTACAGGTGCTATTCTGATCCTCATTTGACATACGGAGAGATTGAGGCCTAGAGCAGTCCAGCAATGTGCCTGAGGTCACCGTGCTAGTAAATGATGGAGCAAGGGTTTGAACTCGGGGACTCTGGCTCCAGAGTTGGGTGGCTATAGTCTTGCCCTTTGGGATGGGGTCATTTACAGGGCTGGGATGGGTGGGCCAGGGGAACTCCCTCAGGGAAGCCCAGGAGAAGCCCAGATCAGGAGGGATGAGGGTCTTCACAGCACTGAGATGTGGCCCAGAGGCATGTGGTTCTAATGGCCCCATGCGCACACAGGCTTGGGACTAAAAGGCAAGCACAAATGCCTAGGCCATTCCAGGGTCTCCCGGCACCGTGGGGAGTTTTCCAAAAGGGCTGATGAATCCGGGGCAGCAGAAGGGGACTTCTCTGCACAGGCCTGGGAAAGGCCCCGTGTCATTCAGTACATTCTTGTTGAGCCTTTACCTTGTATCCGGTGAACACTTGCCACTGTGCTGCACGGTGTGGGCTGTTAGACACAGTCCCTGCTCGCAACACCAAGGCCAGACATGTACAGAACACACAGAACGTGCCAGGCCTTGAACTAAACACTTGCCCTAAGTTATCTCATTTGTTCCTCAGAATTCTCTGAGGCAGGGACTAATATTAGTCATATCTCACAGGAAAAGAAACTGAGGCACAGAGAGCTTGAGCATCTTGCCCAGGGTCCTGTAGCTAAGTGATGGAGTCGGCATTGAAACCCAGGCAGGCAGCACCTGGATCTAGGTTAAAATAACAACTAAACTTACCATGTTCCAGGCTCTCTACACACACGTGCTCGTTTCCCAGGAGCACGGTGTTAAGCCCTATCCTCTGGAGCAGGCTACCTGGACTCACACCCAGGCTCTACTGATTGCCAGCTGCGTGACTTGGACAAATAGTTAACCTCATCTGTAAATGGGGATAAAGATCAAATCTAGCTTACAGGGTTGTTGTGAGGATGAAAAATTAATAATAAAGTTCTGACACACAGAACACACTGTAAGAGCTACGGTGTGTTATTATTATTAATTCTCAAAAACAGCTCTATAAAGATTGTTATACCCACTTAACAGGTGAGGCACTGTGGCTGGAAGAGGGCCAGGCACTTGCCTGAGGACACAGAGCTGGGATTCAAACCCATGACTCCTTGAATCTGGCACCAGAATCTAAAGCACATGCTCTTAACTTGGAGCCTTACTGCTGTGGGGGAGGGGAAGATGGTAATCCACCTAGCCCCCTCCCCAATAGCCTTCTCCCCAGAACAGCCCCAGCCCCCATGCATCTAAGCTGAGATAAAACAAGAAGCCAAAGAATTCTTCAAATCCTCTTCCCCAGTGTGAGCCTTCAGAAGCCTCCCAAAGGCTGTGTGTGCATTGGGGCAAGCCAGTCTGGGAAGACTGGACAGTCTTCCAACCAAAGGCCCTAACTGTAAACAGGACCCTGCCACCCCACACCCTACATTGCTTCCCCTCAGCTGAGCGGGCTGGCAGGCCCCAGTCAGCTGCCTCCACAAATACGTAAACACACAAATTGTGTGGCAGAGCTGGCAAAGCCACAGAAGGAAAGGCAGATACCAAAACCAGAGGAGGAGATGGGGGCACAGCTCCAGAGCCCTCCAGGGTGCAGAGAGCAGCTGGGCTTCTAGCAGTGGACACCTGCAGACACAGTGGGTCCCCAAGGTCCAGTGACTGCACAGGGATGAAGAAAGGGGCCTGCCAAGGAGATGGCTGGTATGTTACAGCAACCTAGGAGTCTGTGAGAGGGGGCAAGTGGGGGTCGGGGGTGGCCCAGGGGACAAAGGCCATCACTCGCTATGCAGGGGCAGTGGGTTGGACCTACAGATATCTGGGAGAGACCAGGGGATGGATTGAGTCCCCACACTGTTCTGGGACTAGACTTTATTCTTGGCAGTTGGGGGGATGTCACACACCCCTCCCTGTCACCACCCCCGCCGCGGCCAGGCCAGGAGAGGCACCCCACGTGTGGGAAACCACTAGGCCAGAGTCATGAGCATTCCCCGGCGTTGGCAGCCTCTGCTCCAGCCAGAAGGGCAGCTGTGGGGAGGGGATAGGGAGACGCAAACCACGGGGGAAGCAGGAGAGCCAGCTGACAGGGCGTGGAACCAAGAGCCCCATATTTGACAGAGCTCTGGACCTAGCCATCCAGGGCCAACACCCCACTGCCCACGTGGTTCTCATCAAGCTCATTAGCAGCAAAACAGCAACAAGCAAACAGCGCTGGGCCCAGCTAATTAGCACACAGGCCTTCAGTGCACAAGCCAGCTTCGTGTGGGAAAGGCTAACGCCCAGTGGCAATTCCTCTAGGAGCGCTGCCAGCCTGTGTGCCAGGGCCACAGGTATGACCAGGGGAGCAGCGGAGGGCCGGGGAGAGAAACAATGGGGCTGAGGCCCCCCGGGGTGGAGTGGATACTGACAGCAGGCTGGAGCAGCACCCCCAGATCAGGGCACGAGGGTGCACACACACGTCAATTCTGACAATCTGCAGACTCACCCAACCTCGAGTTTCCAGTGTTGAAACTCCAGATTGGCAGAGAATGATGCTGGAAAGTCATGAGAAAGTTAGGAAACTGAGAACCTTCAGGGCCGAAGGGCCAGAGCGAGGCCCATGCCCAGACCCCTCGGGCAGCTGTGGACAAGCCCACCTGCCCTGAAGCCACCCTCTGCAACTTCAACGCAAACCTCAGCAATACTCTCTGCTAACCTCAGTAGAACTTATGGGCTCTGCTCTTCATCTCCAGCCCCTGATCCCACCCGGGCCTCAGCTCCAGGACTCGGAGTACGACTGTCTCCTCGGGCACATTCCCTAACCAAACTGAGCCTCGGTTTCCTCCACTATAAGTAGGATAGATGATCAGTCAATACTCATGTTATAGGACTGGGAGACAACTAAGATGATGTATGTGAAGAGCTCAGTGCAGCGTTGGGTGTATAGTAAATCCTCGGCTGTTAGCGAGTAGTAGTAGTCGTCATCGTTATGGGAGTAACGGTGGAAGCAGTGGCAGCAGCAGCTGTAGTGGTAGTGATGGTAGAGGTGATGGTGGTAGTAGTAATAGGAGGTAGAGGAGGAGTAAAAAAGGAAACAGTGGTACACGGCCATCCCCGGTTCACAGACGCAGGAAGTGACGTGAGATACCCGGCAGCAGAGTGTGGGGATTAAGAAGAGGGACCCTTGGGCTTCCCCGGTGGCGCAGTGGTTGGGAGTCCGCCTGCCGACGCAGGGGACGCAGGTTCGCGCCCCGGTCCGGGAGGATCCCACATGCCGCGGAGCGGCTGGGCCCGTGAGCGATGGCCGCTGAGCCTGCGCGTCCGGAGCCTGTGCTCCGCAACGGGAGAGGCCACGACAGTGAGAGGCCCGCGTACCGCAAAAAAAAAAAAAAAAAAAAAAAGAGGGACCCTAGAGTCAGGTTACCTGAGTTCATATCCTGCCATTTCTAGGCCATGTGACCTTGAGCACGTGACTTGTCTGTGCCCCAGTTTCCTCACCTGCCAAAAGGTGAGTGGCTCTCCCCGCCCCACAGGACGTGTGAAGTGAGTCTTGCACAGAGCGAGTGCTGCATAGCTACTGGCTCTCGTGTTGCTGTCACCTCCTCCGAGGGTGCCGTCAGTGGAGGCTAGGGCACAGAGCCCGGCTCTTCCTACCTCACTCCTTGGTCTCCACATAACTAAGATGACTACCCTCTTTTTTCTCATCTGGGCCAGCCTGCCAGGCTTTGGAGTGGTTGAAAGGAAGACTGCTCCAGACACAGGATCAAAGCCTCATCTGACCGTCCTGGTAGGATGCCCACCAGGGGCCAGGGGCCAGAGCAGAGGTGGACTCCCCTAGCACGGCGCTGGGAGTGGTCCCCCCAGGAATGTGCGATGCAGAGGCTCTGGGGCCAGGTGTGTTCCGCAGACCACAGGGGTATGTGAGCACCACAAGGCAAGTTGGGGAGGAGCCCCAACACAGTGGAGCAGCAGGTGGGGAATACAGGAAACTTTACAAACAAGAGAGGGGATTTTATTTGAAAAGTCATCTTCAGTTGGAGCCTTTTTTTTTTTTCGCCATGCCATGCAGCTTGCGGGATCTTAGTTCCCCAACCAGGGATTGAACCCAGGCCCTTGGCAATGAAAGCGCCCGTCCTAACCACCAGACCACCAGGGAATGCCCTGGAGGCATTTTTCAATCTCCTCTCTTCCACTGCCTCCCCCCTGGAAAGGGGCTACCTGCTCAGCAGGCAGATCGGGGAAGACACTTGTGCTCCCCGCACAGATTCTGGAGTCCCCAAGCCCCGCCCAGCTCAAGGAAGAGAGAGGGAGAGGATGGATGCAGTGGAGGCACTCACGTTTGATACAGTGGTTGGTACTGTTTGCTGTTGTCCATCCTGGGCAGCACTGTCCCCCGCAGACATTCCTCCTGCGGGGTCACCAAAGCAGGGTCAGCATAGCTGCTCAGAGCGGGACTATTCACAGAGCCCTACTGATGGTCCCACCCTCTACAGGCAGGGCCTGGGGGAACTCTGCCAGGCCGGGCACTGTCCCCCTTCTCTAGGGAGGCCACGTGGCCCATGGGTGGGCGCTTTGGGATCCTTCACATCTAAGATTGAATCCTGACTCTGCCATTCTCTGCACGAGCTCGGGAAGCCTCATTCTTTTCATCTGTACAATGGAGATAATAATACCTGTTTAATGTTGTTGTGAGGATTAAATGAGATAGGACAATAGCCCCGACACACTGGCACAGGGATCACGAAGATGATCAAAAAGCCAGTTCAGAGTGGCTCAGTCGCTTTCCAAGACTAAACAATAAGTAAATGTCAGAGCCAGATTCAAACCTCAGTTGACCCAACTCTAAGTCACGCTCCAGCTCTGCATGGCCTCTCACCAAAAAATTATCACCATGGCCCTTGCCAACAAATGCTGATAATCCAAGGGAAGCTGGAAAACATACCCAAAACAGTCTTAAGGACATACATGTGCATCACCTGCCAACACATGCACACTGGGAGGAGCCTTAGCCCTCTGGCAGGCTGGTGCACGGTCAGACGGAGCACTGGCTGGGACAGAAGGAGCCGGAGCTCCAGAATTTCTCTTTAAGAGGAGCTGAGGAAGTGGCAAGCTGGTAGGAAGATGGGGCTGGGGACTCGGGATAAGCTGCACTGCACGGTGAGCACACTTTTTACTTGGGCATGCTGATGCAACTTACTCGGTGGGAGATAGCCCTTCCCCCAGCTACTCCTTGGGGCTGGCACCGAGACACCTGCAGGAGACACTGACCAGCAGTTGCCACCAGGGCCATTCACCTAACTCACCCAAACTCTGCCCTCAGGTGTGGAGTGCAGCACCACTATCCTTCACCCACCCTGACCATCAATCTAAAACCCAAATGCCCGGACAGAGGTGACTTCCCGAGAAGGGCTCTATCTGGAGAAGACCTCTGGGGCCCTGACTTCTCAGCTCAGGCTGGGCCTGGCTTTGCTTCACAGACCCCATCATTACCATCAGAAATTCTCTACTGAGCACTTGCTGAAGCTCAGGGCAAGCGGGGCAGCAGAGGTACGGAGCCCAAGAGTGGGGTAAAGGACAGACCAGGGGGCCCTTCCTGTGACCTTCGTGGCCGGCGTGGTGAGTATCTGGTCCCACTTAGGAGTTTGTTTGACATTTGTGTGGCCCCCAAAGCTCGTGTGGTTTTTGAAACCTTACGAAACATTCAAAATAAATTCCTTCAGCTTGAAAAAGCTGAGGCCCATTCCTGGCCCTTTGGCCCAAAGCTGTGGGGAGCTGCCTCCCAGGGAGGCCCCATAATGCCCTCCCACCCAAGGGCTGTGCCATTTCAGCCACCTCGAAGCCCCTCTGCACCGCTGCCTTCATCGGCTTCCTGGCTCCCGAAGGCCTATTCCCCATCAGGGCCCAAGTCACTGGGTTCTGGGGAAGGGGCTGGTCCTCACAGCCAGGGCTTCTGAGTGTGTGCCCTGGTGGGAGGGGGGACTACCCACTCATTGGTGAGTCATTACCCCCTCTGGTGGTGGCAAGGCCTCTTAGAGGCCTGAGAGGTCTTTGAGAAGGAAGCAGACAGCATGCCCTGGGAGTTTTCTAAAAACTAGGGTCTGTGGGAGTCCAGAGAGCACGGACTGAGGGGCCCACCTGGCTGAGAGGTCATGGCGTGGAGCCCAGCTCAAGGAGGCCCCCCTGAGCCTGCTGGTACCCTAGATGCCTTCAGAATGGCTACGGAGCTGACTGTAGGAAGGCAGCAGCTCGGCATGCCCTGCCTGACCACGGTAGAGCCCTCAAGGCCGTCAGGGCCACAGTGAGAGCTGGTCAGAATCAAAGCTGCCAAGCAGGGGGGCAGGGCTTGGCAAAGCGGGCACTCAAGAGGGATACAGGAGCCCAGCCAGAGTCTTGGGTACAGGCTCAGGGAGGTGCCCGATGGAAGATGACCATTCCGTGAGCTCTGGCTATCTGGAGAGAGCAAATGAGCCTGACTAGCTGGGGCCAATGACTCAGTGGCTCTGAGTCTCTGGAAGATACGACTCAGAGATTATGTAAGCCCAGCCTTCCAGGCCACACCACTCAGCAAACATTAGCCCAGTATCCAACATCATTGCCCAACCCATCTGGCTAAGAGCCTAGGACAGCTGCTGCTCCACCTGGAACAAATCTGGTCATACTGGTCCTTTGTTATAGATGCCTCAAGGCTCTCCACTGGCCTCTACAAAGCCAACCGGACCCCTCCTGCCTGTGGAATATAATTGACCCCCTTGCCCCCTTATCTCCATGGCCACCTACAACCAGAACTATGATCCTCCAGATATACGAAGTTTGTTGTCCCCCAGCTGCACTGTATGTGGGCACATTTTGATGCCTTTGCTTGAGCTGCTCTCCCTGCCTAGACTGCCTTCCCTCTCTTCTTTGCCGACTGAGATCCGTGGCACGCTCCAAGACTTCCAGATCAAACGTCACCTCCTTTGTGTAAAGCCTCCCCTGCCATCTACCCAGCCTTCCCCATTCCCCAGCCGCCACACCATTTAGCACTGATTACCTCAGGCTGTTGGTGTATGTCTCTGTCTCGAGTACCTTGAGGGCTCTTTCTTATTCCTCTTGGTGCCCCTAGAGTCTAACATAGTGGCTGACATGTGGTGTACTTTTAATACCTCTTTGTTTCACTTAATCCAATGTTTCCCAACACACTTCTGGTAGGAAAGGAAGTGTGACGTTTCCATAACCACAACATGCGGCAATGCTGAATCACACAGCGAGAAAGTGATTCCCTTTTCAGTGATCGTTCTAGTGTGATTAGACCAGAGGGAAAAAATCTCTGTCGGAGGTTGGGTCTTCACGCCAGGTTCTCTCTCCAGCCCTTGCCAATTGCCATTTCCAGTAGGGAGGACTACAGGGCTGAACTTCCTATGATAATGGTATTTGACTAGACTTTGAGAACATTTTGTTTTCATTTCAGTTTTCCTACAGTTTTCTCCTTATGACAAGCGGTGCTATTTTCAGCTTATGAAAGTGACACAAAGTGTCCTTGAAAATGGATTTATTTATGTAGAAAAATGCCAAGCACTGTTTGTAATACCAAAATATGTAACTCATCTAAGTGTCCAAAAACAGAAGGATGGATAAATAAACTGCGCTATATTCAGACAATGACATAATGACCAACAATTAAAATGAATAAACTTGGACTGATTATATTAATGTAGTTAAATTTGAAACATCTAATGAGGATTGGAAAAGCAAATTTTAGAGGGATAATGCAGCGTAGCACCACTTATCTACGTTTAAAATATGCAAAACAATATTGCGTATGTTATGGATGCATGCATCTATAAAAACCTAGATTGGAATCACGGGTAAATTCAAGGTGGTGGTTAACTCTGGGGAGAGAGGGAGACAAATTTATAGACGATATTTCGACTAAAAAAATCAGAAGCAAAATAGGCCCGAATATTAAGGTTTGAAAAAGCTGGATTGTTAGTTGTATTATTTCCAATACTTTTTGTAGGTTTGTATAAAACTTCATAATATAAAATACTTAAAAATAAATAAAACACAAAATCCTGTTATTTTAACAGTTTATAAATTTAAGAAAATAATAGAACAAGGAGGAAAAGATAGAGGAAAATATTATTAAGGTGGTATGCTGTGAGGCTAAGCTTAAGAAACACTGAATGCTGGGGAACAATGGCTTAAAAAGTCCCCTGTGGACTGTGAATTTCAACAGTGCAAGAATTTTCTGCTCTGGTTACACTGGGTCCCAGACACCTAGCACTGTGCCTGGCGCACACTTAAAATCTTCATTATGCGCAATAAAACCCCACTACATTGCAAGTTCCACGGAGACAGAGGCTGTCTTGGCCACTGCTGTATCCCCATGGTCCAGCAAAGTGCCGGGCATAGAGGAGACCTTCCAAACGTTTGTTGAATGAAGAATCCCCAGTAGTGGTGATGCAATTCCAAGCTTTACCAGCAGGTGGCACTTAGTCCTTGGCCCTGAGCAATTCACAAGGCAACTGCCAGAGAGGCCAGCCTGGCCAGAAGCCAGGAGCGAGAATGGACTTGGGGAGAGGAAGCCGATGGACAAGATTGCCGCTCAGCCCCTCCCCAGATGACTTGGAGTGGCTATAGCTGCAGTGCCAGAGGAACCCACCCTTTATCAAAGCTGCAGAAAATAATCTGGGGGAGGAGCCACCCCAGCGTGTGATGTGATGTGTGCACCTGTATATGGCAAGTGATTGTGGGTGGCACCCAGCCCAGGTCCTTACACACCTGTGTACATCTACCAGCCTTATCACGGTGACAATCTGCTTTGCTCATCACCACCTCATTTCACAGCTGTGAAGAGTGCACCCTCCCACCCCCACTCCACTATCCCATCTCCCCCCAACTCCCACCCGAATGCTGACAGTATAAGCTCCTCCATGATCTGGCTCAGCCTATGCCTCCAGCCTCAGCCCTGTGGCTCCCCTACTCCAGGGTGCAGTCCTGCCCCTAGGCCAGTGCCAACAGTGAAAAGCCCTTGTCTTTGGGCAGTGCTACAACTCGGGACCCCACTCCTGCCACTTCCCCTCTGCTTCCCCGCATGCTGCCCATCGAACCCCAGGGCCTCCTTCTCCTCCAGGCTCGTCAGCCACAACCGTCCATTCCTTTATGCTTAACATGAAGTTTCTGGAACTAGAAAGCATGTTCACCAGTGCCTATCTGTCCATTTCTCCAATTCGATTTGAAGTAATTGAGTTGCCCTCCTGGCAGGAACAATGTCTTTGTCTCGGGGCCCCATCCCCTATCCCAGGCCCTGCACACTTGCTCTTAAGAAGTATGTATTCACTTGCACAGGCCATTACCACCCACTGACTGATCCTCTGTGTAAGCGACTTGGCAGTGCTTGGGTCTACTCTGTCTGCCTTAAGCTGGTCCTTCCAAGGGCAGCGGGGAATTCATTCACTCACTCAACAGATACTTAACAAGCAGCAACTATATACGAGCACTGTTCTAGGCACCGGTGACACAGCAATGCACAAAACAAAGCCTCTCTTTTCATAGAGCTTACATTAGCGTGGGCTGGGAGACCAGACCATAAACGCAGAAACAGAAACATAATATGTCCAATGGGAATAAGTGCTATGAAGAAACGTAGAGCAGGGTGAAGGAAGAGAGAGGGCGGGGCAGGAGTAGTCAGGAAGGTCTCTCTAAGCAGAGAAATACAGGAGAAGAGTGCTGCAGCCTAGGAAAACAGTGAGTGGAGAGGCAGTAAGAACATCCTCGGGAGTAGAACAGGGGTTGCAGTGTCCTTCAGGCTATGAGCCAGGGGACTGAACCCAACTGGCAAATAGGGCCCAAGCCGAGAAGGGCTGCCAGCTTCCTTCCCAGCCTCCCCGATGGTGTCCCCACGCATCCCCACACTGCCCGGGCCTCCAGTGCCCTCCATTCTGGAGACACCTGTCATACTCAGGCAAGACTGAGCCTCCCGCAGCCATGAGGATCTTCAGCGGGGCCGGGGGTTACTGGGGAACCTCTCCCACGCTGCGAGGGAGCCCCCGGCACGCAGCTGGTAGTCTCAGGGTAGGGGGGAGACTTAGCCCTGCAAAGTGCACGAGTCGCGCTGACACCTAGCTGCATAGGGGCACACACAGACCCACTCCCCCACGGACCCACAGTGCCACAGCCACATCGCGAGCAGGCTTCCTGCCCAAAGTGCCCCCGATCCCATGCCCACTTCCACGTCCAGTCGTCCGCGGGCCCAGGCCGACCTCTGCCGCAACCCACAGACTCGTTCCCCCCGCAGGCTTTGCTGCCAGCCTCCTTCCTGGAGATGCATCTGCCCTTGCGCTCTGGAGCCCCCGACGTCCTCCACCCACCCGCGCTCTAAGCCCGCTCAGCTTCCCCTGGGCCTCAAGCGCGTGGAACGCCCACCCCGCTGCCCTCTCCCCGGTCCCTTTCAGATCCCCGCACCGCTACGGGCGTCAGCAGGCACCGGTTGGAGGCGGGAGGGAGGAGAGCGGGCGAATGCCCTGGCGCCTTGGGAAAGGATTAACGTCGGGTCTGGGCGAGCTGGTACGAAAGGGTGTGGATGATGTTTCTCTTTCCTCTCAACTCTTTGAGAGTGGGTCAGATGGAGCCCCAGCTCCGGGGCCTCGGTCTGTTCCTCCGCAGTACTGAGGACAGAGGGACGAAAGGCAGAGCCCGGCGCCCTGTCCTCTAGCCAGCACATCCCTCCACGAACGAGCGTACGGGAGACCGGCCCTCGCTCCCCCAGCCCCCATGCTTCCCTCTCCAGTGCTCACCCCGTTAGCCGCCCTCGCGCAGCCCGCGGCCGCTGCGCGGTCCCGAGGCGCGGGAGAGCCGGGGGGGCCTGGGCCCGGGGTGCGGACTGCTGCTGGCTCAGGGGCCGGCTTCTCCAGGTCTGCGCAGGTGGCTGGACTCGCCGCGGCTGCTGCGCGCGGGGCGGCCTCCTGGCCTCCGCCTCGGCGGGCCTGCTGGGGCTCCCCCAGCCAGGTTGGGTCCGCTCCGCGGGCGGCAAACCCGGAACGGGCACGTTCTGCTCCCGGAACAGACTGTACACCTTGGCTGTAGCCGCTGCGGGGTGGCTGCCCCCGGGGCGCCGCAGCCGACTCGCGTCCCTTCCAGCCGGCTCGTATCTGCCCAACGAGTCCCTCTGAGCATGACCCATGCCCACGAAGAGAGCCAGGGTGAGAGGCAAGAAGCTCCTCCAGGGGTTCCGAAGGACGCGCCCGGGGCAGCGGGTTGTGGTTGGGGGCCTCATGGCGCCGGGGCGCCCGGAAAGCGGCGCGCGCGGGTAACTGTCCCGGGGCTCGCGGTCTGTGCGCCCGGCCGCCCTCTGGCTGCGCTCCGGTCCCCTCTCGGTGGCCCGCCTCTCCCCGTCTAGGGGGCCCCGAATCAGACTGCGGGCCAGGCTCTCCGTGGAGCGAGGGCCAGGCTGCGGGAGCGGCCCGGGGCTGCGTGCAATGAGCCCGGCGGCCGCGCTCCGTCTCTAGCTGGGTGGGCACCGCTGTCGCCCCGCCGCGCCTTCTCCCCGTCACTGTAGCCTTCTGAATGGGAACCGGAGGGTTTTATTTTTGGAAACCTCCCCCCGATTTTTCGTCTCTTTTATCCACACCGTGCCCCCTCCTCGGAGGGACAGCTCAGCCCCCTCATTACGGGAGAGGGAGAGAGGAATTCCAGCAACACCCACTTTGGCACTGGGAAGCGAGCGGGCGGCGAGGGGTGTTAACCCGTGAGGAGCTGGGGGCGACGCAGGGTCGGCCCGAGGGCTAGTAGGCGAGATGACGCCTGCCGGGACAGGGGCACCCAAGCCACCTTTCTCTTGTCCTGGGCAAACTGAACTGCTGACCTGTCCAGAGTTTATCTCCCGCCCCTAACCTCAGGGACAAACTCCCTGTTCGATGACCAAGGCTGCAGCCTCGAAGGTCTGAAGGAGGTCAGGAGAGGTACGAAGAACGGCATGACAGAGACAGGACCCAAAGGCCGGGCCCCGGACCCTTCGCTTCCCGCCCGAGCCACTGGGGGCGTCGGCCGGGGTTGCGGCTAGAGCTGGGACAGCACGGGGCAGCTCGCCTGCCTCCGCCGCCGTGGGACGCGGGAGCGCTGGAAGGTCCCCTGGGGGCGCGCGCCCTCTAGTGGACTAGGCCGCGTCCTTGGCTATCCTGCGGCCGGCAGAGACCTGTCGCTGCCAGCCGCCTTAGCTCCTTGATCTTCATCCCCTTCCTGCTGCGTCAGGATCGAGCCTAGGCCTGAGGCGTTGATGGCGGCGGATCCTACAAGAGGTGTCTTCTCTTCCACAGGGGAATAAACATGGAGGATCTGGAATAAGGTCACTCAAGGAGACAGCGTGTGTCCAAGAAGTGAATGAAATCCAGTCCTCCAGCCTGCGGCTCAGATCCATTTCCTAGATTCCCATCCAGCCCCTCACTCCCTTGGGATTCGATGAGCTTCTGATTGATGCAGTGAGTGTGCTCACATCTTCTTGTGTTGGCAGGGAGAGGGCAGGGGTGCTAGAATGCCAACGGCCACCCATCTTAGTACCCCCAACAGCCAGCTCATCACTCACACCATGGTCCCCTGCCCTAAAGTCTAAAGGCCTGGCAACCATGGCTGCCTCCCCCAAGCACCCTGCCCCGCCCCTGCATTTCTGCAGCCTACTGCTTCCTGGAGAGGCAGAGGGACCGAGCAGGCAGGAAGACACCAGTTTATAAGGACCCACACCACACAAAGGACAGACCCAGTCTAATGTTGAAAACAGCCTCAACTCCTGACCTTGGCCTCCAAAGCCCTGCAGGACTGGCCCCCTCTCTGATCTATCCCACCTCTTGCTGGGGCACTCTCCACACCGCAGCTGCACTGGCCTCCTCTCTACTCCTTGAACAGGCTAAGTTCATGCCCACTTCCCTCTCCCCGAAACACTCATCTCCAGGATGTTTTACAGGACACGCTCATCACTTCACCTCTCAGCTCAAACATCACCCCCTGGAGAGGCCGTCCCTGACCCCCCAACCTAGAGCAGTCTTCCCACTCCCAAGTCATCACCTTCTAATACATCACCCTGTTTCACCTTCATTGCTCTAGAGTAGTTGAAATTGTTTGTTTACCCGTATAACTGATTTATTGAATGGGCTGAACCTGAAGAGGAACAATCAGGAAACAGCTCTATGTTTCTCCTCTCACTGCCTTCAACCATATTATGGTGAATTTCTCTTCTCCACCCTTAATGGCATCTCAAGCAGAGTCCTTGGCTTGCCCATCGCCGTTAGTCACAAGAACAGTTTCGTTTCCATAATTAAGACCAATTTCCAGGCACTAAAAAGCCTGGTTCTGTCCAAATCAAAACCTCATCCAATTTAATCAATCTCGTATCCAATTTAATACCCCTCCTCTCCCTCCACAGGCCTGTCCCCTGGCTCAAGATCATGTACTAGGGAGAGTGGGGTGTGGTCTGATTTTCTGACCTTCCTTTTCTGCTGTGGCTCCTCCACATCAGGGTTGGGGGAGAGGTGTTAGGGGGAAAATGGTAAAGTCCTGTGTGACAGGTGCCCTTGGCTGACAGGTGCCAAGCTCTGGCTCTTTCATGGGCACATTTGTGGGTTCTTGGGAAGCTCTCTGCATGATCTCCACCCTGCACTACCATGGCAAGGCACTCTCTGGACAATTTCCCTGTGTCCCCTACCCCCCATGGGACTTTCCTGTCCATGCCAGCAAACCAGTGGTGAGCTGGCTGCATCTCTTCCTGCTATAAGGGCCACTCCAGCGAGTCTCCATGGTCAGATTTCTCCAGACAGAAAATGCACACAAGCCTCTTCATTTATGTACATCCCCAATTCCTAAAGTCATAGGTTGGGTTCTCCCAGGAACTTTCTTGATGTGCTTTGGTGCATTGGGGTGCTTGCAGCTTCTAGCACCTCAGCTAGCATCAGTGGAGACAGAGTTATGGGGAGTCATGCTAGTTTCCTCTTCTTTGGAGGCCCCCAGTCCCTATGACTGGTTTTCTTAGGGCCCTGTTCACTTGGTTTGCTTGGGGAGTACCCTCAGGGGAAATCTCAGCCCTGCTTACTAATGCAAATGTTCTCTGACTCAATGACTTTCTTCAATCCCTTTTTATTCGTAGGCTGGAATCCAGGGATGTATCTTGATAGTTGTTGAACTGGTTCTGCCTTTAGTAAGATGCCTAGTACTTCTCTTTGGCATGTGAGAATATATAGTCCTTATTGTTCTAGCCTTTGCATCTTCAGCAGAAATTCAAAGCCCACAGGAAAAATCCTGTTCAACAACCTGTAAAAGTATTGTCTGACTTCCCAAGCCACAATGATAGCTCTAAATGAGCAGGTATCTTGCCTGCCTGGATAACCCCTGTTTCCCCAAAACCTAGAACAGTGCTTGCCTCTAATAGACAGCCAAGAAATATGTGTTCAGGGACTTCCCTCGTGGTCCGGTGGCTAAGACTTCACGCTCCACATGCAGGGGGCCCGGGTTCCATTCCTGGTCAGGAAACTAGATCCCACATGCCGCAACTAAGAGTCTGCATGCTGCAACTAAGAGTTCTCATGCCACAACTAAAGATTCCACATGCTGCAACTAAAAAAAAAAAAGATCCCGCATGCTGCAACGAAGATCCCTCGCGCAGCAAAAAAGATCCCGAGTGCCACAACTAAGACCTGGCACAGCCAATAAATAAATAAATATTAAAAGAAAGAAAGAAAGAAAGAAAAGAAATACGTGTTCAATGGATGGCTAACTGAATGAAAGACAGGGTAATCCCAACAAGTAGGGAGGGCTGGTATCATTAGACCCATTTTCAAAGAGAAAAACTGAGTTCCTGGTGGGAGTTACTGGTCCAAGTTCATGTGCTTACTGCCTTTAAGGCTGGTCCTAAGGATCTCCTTGAATTCTGCACCTTGCATTTTGGGATGAATGCCATCTCAATTCCCAGGATGCTCAGCTCTCTCCCTGAGACACTGCTCCTTCACAGCTATGGGAAAGCCTCAGCTCCACACTTCCCTCCCCTTGCCTCATTATCTACCCAGTTCTGTAGTTCCAGGCTCCCTTCCTCACCCCACTACCTCCCCAGTTCCTTTAGGATCTCTCCTCGTCATCCCTCAACGCTCACCTCAGATCCCCATGAGGCTCCCAAGGCCAGAAACCTTGGCATCATCTTCATCCCTGACCTATTTTTTCCTCCCACGTGTCCAAGTCATTATTACTGCTCTGTCTCCTCCGTCTGCACTTCTGGAAGTCTGCTGCCCATTCAGCCTCTCACTGCTCCAGCTCAGCCAAAACCCTCATGCAGACACACTTCCCTCACCTCTAGGCGCCCCTCCCACTCTCTGGTGAGTACAAGCGGTCCTTGGAAATTCCCACCTTGTTCTCCTGGGGGCCCACAGCCAGGCTAATCTACTTTGAAGACTGGCATCTCCTACTCCCCCATCCCAGCACCAACCTCCTGTCCTGCCTCCCACTTACTGCCCATCACTCCCTTTCCCTGTAATCGCTGGGGTCTGCTGACGCAGCTCTTCAGAATCTCCAGTCCCATAAACAGTGGCGTTTTTCGTTTGTTTTCCCTTTTTGAAGCTGCGAACATTTATGGAGTCTACTATGATCCAAGCACGGTGCTAAGCGTGCTGCGTGAATTGGCTCCTTTAACCAAAGAAAGGAGGTGTTGTGATTTCCACGTACACAAAGGAGGAAACTGAGGCTGGGAATAGCTACTGGCTTGCCCACAATCACACAGCTGAGGAAGTGTTCCAACCTTGGTCGTCTGCCACCTGAGCCCAAGCGTCTAAGACTGCACCACGTTGCCTTCACTCTGGGCTTGAGCCTCGGCAGCCCTCCTGACAATTGAGTGGTACCTTTTCCAGCCATCTCTGCAGCTGTCCCCACCTAAGACTCTCCACCGCACATTCCCCAGCCTCTTCCCTGACGGCTAGCCCACCACTCAATTCCCAGGGAATGGGTATCAGAACTTTCTGTTCCCCTCTCCCTTCCCTGCTCAGGAAAAGAAGGGGAGCTAACCGTTTCCAGCAAGGCCCCTGACTCACCACGTGTCACTTCCCTACCCCTGATTCCCGCTTCCCCCCTAAAGAGGCACAAAATGTTGCTAAGCCAACTAACCCACCCCTTGGGTCTGGGGAGGGAAATCGTCTCTGGAAACCCTGCAGAGAGAGTCCCAAGAGGCTGCTAAAAAGATTCCAGTGGGGAAAGGTTTGCCGGGACACGTGCACCATGAGAGGGGATGGCGGTCTGCTAGACACTCGAGGCGACCTCATTGCTTTCCCATGTCTTGGAATAACGCCGGCAGCCAGAGAGCTACCAGAACCTGAACTAACTTGGTAAATAAGGACCAAAAACAAGGACCGCATTTCTGCTCCCTTTGCTGAGACCCAGACTCTGGACAGGATTCCAGGGATTTTTCTTCCTTGGAAGTGACTGGACCTCCAGTCCTGAATTCCTCTCCCCAGGAGAGCTT